GCTGAGGAAGAAGGTTGTTAATGGAATGATGTCACCCTGATACGACGCAAAAAAAGATAAACATTTAAGTGTAAATTAGTATTCTTTGTTTTATAATCTGGCGACCTCCCATTTTTTTCTGGCCGCCCCCAGGTTGAGAACCACTGAAGTGGTGTAACACATTGTAACTATTTCTAAGTTACCAGTAAATTTATGTCACAGGGACTGCTGAGAAATATGCCATATTTTATTACATTTTAAAATGTAAACTGGTAATAAACTAATTACTATTTTTAAAATAACCCAATATTGGCTGTTAAAAATATAAAAAATAAATAGAGAGAAAACCTTGGATGAAAGCATGTCCCTTGCAAATGTTGACCCTCTGAATAGTGACAGATGACATATGTATCGATGTGGGGAAAATGAGTACTAACATGCATCATCTTTGTGAATATGGGGATCCACCAATCTCTCCTCTATCTGGGTGGGTTCATACATGGGCTAAGATCAAATGAATGGCTTCCGTTTTATTTCAAACATAATTGAGCCTAACAATGCATTGGTTTTGTACAGTGCTTTACTTCATATACAATGGTGACAAGCTGACAGTGTAGCCACACCTGCCATGGGGCAGACTGACAGAAGTGTGGCAACTTGTATGTGGCCTCTTTGACCACCTCCATTCATACCACACCATATTCATTATAGGCATTGTGGTTGAAGTGTCTTGCCCAAGGACACAACAACCAAGTGTCCTCATGCAACCTCATGCTTTACAGTATGAGCGCTGTTTGGTCCTTTCATTGACCTCTAGTTGCATCCTCTTTCAGAGGATTCAATTAAATTATTTTATTTACAAAACTTATAGCCATATAGGTTATACACTTTTACAATGTAGGGTTGGTTGGTGTTTTATAAAAAGGGAACTCCCAGGAAGCTGCATTAGCTTATAGAAGGGCCATGATTCAGTAAAAGCCCAGACTTCCGTAACAGGGGCATTCTGAGTCCACCATTACCCGGTGATGCAAGACCTTTAAACTGGCTGCAACAACTTGGGACAAAATGAGCTCCACATTCGCCCACTGCTAAAACCATTTCAGCCTCAGTCTAAAAGCACATTTTGAGGCTGTTTTAGTTGCCCCAGATGTTTGCTAAATGGACTTTCATATTACATAGTTGTACTGCGCCACCACAATAGCAAAGATTGAACAAAGAATCTATTTATCCAAAATTGGCCTGTGTGACGCAAAAGGAATAATGAATTAGAGGTCACTTGCCATTGTTGAGCCACTCATGAAAATACAATGGTCGGCTGTCTTGTGTAAGCGGTGTTTACAACAATCAAGAGTTGTGTTGTCTTGTAATTTCCTCTAAGAGATCATGTAAGAAATATCGAACAAAACAGATTAATGATTGGTTTAGAAAGGTAGTGCAATGAAAACTTTTTAGACTTTATTTATGAGTTATGAAAATGTCTGCACTTCTTCAGACTCTGTGTTCAGAGTGTGCTTTATCTCAAAGTTACAGAATAATACTAGCAATGTACTCAAATAATATATTCGGGTCATTTTATCAAAAGTGTTGATGCAACTTTGACCATGAACTTCTCCTGCACTTTGCTGTTGGGACAAAAGATGACAAAGGAGTTTAGTATTTCACATGAATAACAAAGAGGTGTTCAAGTCAGACTTATCAGCCTCGACTGGAGTCACTCGGGAACACAAGTTTCTCACAAAGTTTCCGAAATTCTTTAATATGTGCTTTCATTATCTTTAAATATTAACCCAAAAGTGAATTTGAAATGTAATGTTTATGAGCCTCCTGTCTACGTGAGTCCACACACATCACCATCTGCAGTCAGGATTACCACATCGTGACAAACCAATGCTAGAAAGAAAAACCACTTCACTTTGCATTTGCACCGCAGCTTTTCATAATCTACAAATTAATTTTATACAAAATAAAACAATAATCCAGATACAAAATAAAGAAAAATATGCAGTTTGAAAATGTGTAATGTTCTTGATATTGCTTCTACCCTCTTCATTTTGTTGAAATTGTGAGGCTTATATTGTATAATGGTAAAAGTATAGATACAATAAAACCGTCTATTGAAAAAACTCTTGATTCAAGTAATTTCCTCCCTTTAGTTAGAGTAATCAAGTACCTTCTTTTATGTACTACAGGAAAATAAATGTTTACTCAATAATAAACATTTATGATTTACAATAGCAGCAGAAGCATGGCTAACAACTTCAACCCTGCATTCTCAATCTTAGAGGCATGGCTAATCACTGCAACACATAAATGAAGTATGTGACATTTTAGAGTAGAAAGTATAGATATTTGTTTGTGTATGACTTAAAGGAGGATTCTCTACTTCCGGGTGGATCATCAAGACTATTGGTCCTCCCAACTGTCAATCATTCTGGTGATATGTGCTCGTCAAATATGACGAGTTTTGTTCAAAAAATGGAGAGGGCGGTTCTATCCTAAAATTTGGGAATATCCTTCTATATACCTTTGAGTAAAAAATACATGGTAAATTGGTAATCAATATACAATTATAATAAATAAACGTCTGGTAAAATATGTATTTTATTTATGTCCTTTACTCCACATTGTTCTGTGCAAAGCCATATTAGCAGCAGCCTCATCCTATTAGCCTTCCATCACTAACCCGTTAAAATTGGCAAGTCTTCTAGAAGCACTGAGACGAATTAAAGCAGGAAGTAATCCACTGAGTTAAAAAGTCCTTTGTTGACATCCCGTATCTACTCTTTTGTTCATAAACTTTGCATTAGCACAAAAGTAGATCATTAAAGGAGCTATACCTGTTTCTGCTCGGTTTGAATTTTTAGCACCGCCCCCCAACTCGCTCACAGGCTTCTCATTTCCCCTACGCTCTCATCCTACGGAGCCATCTAGATGTACAGTGCCTTGCGAAAGTATTCGGCCCCCTTCAACCTTTCGCCACATTTCAGGCTTCAAACATAAAGATATAAAAAAAAATTTTTTTGACATAAATCAACAAGTGGGACACAATCGTGAAGTGGAACGAAATTTATTGGATAATTTAAAGTTTTTTTAAACAAATAAAAAACTGAAAAGTGGGGCGTGCAATATTATTCGGCCCCTTTACTTTCAGTGCAGCAAACTCAGTCCAGAAGTTCAGTGAGGATCTTTGAATGATCCAATGTTATCCTAAATGACTGATGATGATAAATAGAATGCACCTGTGTGTAATCAAGTCTCCGTATAAATGCACCTGCTCTTTGATAGTCTCAGGGTTCTGTTTAAAGCGCAGAGAGAACCATGAAGACAAAGGAACACACCAGGCAGGTCCGAGATACTGTTGTGGAGAAGTTTAAAGCCTGATTTGGATACAAAAAGATTTCCCAAGCTTTAAACATCTCAAGGAGCACTGTGCAAGCAATTATATTGAAATGGAAGGAGTATCAGACCACTGCAAATCTACCAAGACCCGGCCGTCCCTCCAAACTTTCATCTCAAACAAGGAGCAGACTGATCAAAGATGCAGTCAAGAGGCCCATGATCACTCTGGATGAACTGCAGATAACTACAGCTGAGGTGGGAGAGTCTGTCCATAGGACAATAATCAGTCATGCACTGCACAAATCTGGCCTTCATGGAAGAGTGGCAAGAAGAAAGCCATTTCTCAAAGATATACAAAAAGTCTTGTTTAAAGTTTGCCACAAACCACCAGTGTTGTGCCAGTTCTACGTCATGGTGCTACGTCCCTTAGGACTTCGCTAGTGGGATATCACGTGACCCCCAGGTCACAGACGCCAGAGAGATCAAAATAATTTGCTCCAATCACCAGCCACCTTCCTCTATAAATGCCCCTGCACAAGGCCGCACCCCCTCTTTCACTCTGGCGCCGTTTGAGATCTACATTCGTTACCTGAGAAAGAAAGATGTCTTCTGATGCACGTCCGAGTTCCCCTTCGCCATCCGGCGTCGGACGTCGTCGTTGCTCGACCTGTCGGGGCAAGCTCCAACGCAAGGACCAGCACTCCAGCTGCTTCATGTGCCTGGGTGCGGGCCATGCGGCGTTGAGCGCCACCTGCGCCTCGTGTGTCGCTCTCCCCAGGGAGGAGAGTGAACGCAGGCGCGCGTTCTTCGCCGCTTCAGCGCCCCGTCCGGACTCCTCTAAGGACGAGGAGTCTGAGATTGACTGGGCCCCCCTCGACATTCCACCTGTGCCCGCGGAGTGGGGTGACTGCGAGGACGGAGAGGTGTCGGAGGTCGGCTCTCTCCTCACGCTGGACGAGGTGGTGTCCAACCCGGAGCCGGACCGCTTCCCGCTGGACCACATGCCTGGGCTCTACGCCACGGCGGCGGCCATCATGGATGCCCCCCTGCCACCGCAACCGAACCAGAGGGTGGAGGACTTCACCTCTGGGTACGCAGCCCCTCGAGGGAGGAGGAGAGCCCAGCCCACGTTGTGCCCGCGTATGGACCCGATCGTCCATTACGCGACACGTGAGTGGCCAAAACCCCTAGCGGCCAAGAGGCCCGCTTTGGGGTATGGCATGTACTGCAACGTGCAGGACTGGTCCTGGACAGGCGGGGTCCCGGACATCGAGGACTCGGTTCGGGCGGCCCTGCACCCCTCCTCATCCGTGTGGCCCAGCACCAGACCTCTCCTTCCCTCCGAGCGGGATAGGATGTCTCTGGCTATGCATGACAGATGTTACGCCAATGCGGCTCAGGTCGTCGCGGTGGCGAACAACATGGCTTTCATCACCGGGGCCCTGGATAGGTCTCTCTCCTCTGACCAGGCACTCAGTGGAGACACCTTAGCCCAGGCGAGGACCACTTCAGCAGCGATCTTGCGCATGTGCCAAGCGCTAGCTGTCGATGGCGGCCGCTCTATGGCAGCAGCCCAGGTCGGGGCCAGACACCTCTGGCTGGGGGCGGTGAACCTCAGAGAGGCGGAGAAGAGGCAGCTGCTGGACCTGCCCATCTCCCAGACGTCGCTCTTCGGTCCGGAGATGCAGACGCTGATGACGAGGCTGGACAGCGCGGCTAAGGACTCGGCTAGCCTGGCAAAACACCTAGCTACGAGACGCGAGGCCCGCCCACCAGCGCGGAGCCGAGACAGAGGCAGGGAGCGCTCGCCTGGCAAGCGCCCCGGACCATATCCACGCTCCGTGGTCCATCGTTCCCCAGCGGCGAGACCCCCGGGCCCAGACAGGCACACGGGAGGTTCGCGGGACCAACACACCCATCGACGGCCTCCCTACGGTAGAGGAGGTCGGGGTGGTAAAAACTCTTTCAATAAAGGCCGTCCGGCATTTCACCAGTACTCGCTGTCTGAGTCTCATTTGGGGGTATGTAACATGTCAAATGATTTGAATTCTGTTTGTGTTACTTCTCGAGCATATAACGTGGCTCCGCCAGGCCTGCAGCCCCCAGAGAAGGGCGTGCAGCGCGCTGTGCAGACCACGAGCTCCGATTCACGGGTTCATGTTTTGCCCTCCCGGAGAGAGGGCAGGCGGAGGGATCTGATAAGTGCTAATGTGTGTGCTCCGGGCGCTAGCGTGTTAGCATCTCTGAGCTACAAGGCTAACACGGGGTTTCCCAATCCAGGGGCTCTCCCCCCCCCTCCATGAGGCAAGAGCCAAGGGGGGGCGCAGCAGCCGTGTCACGCGTGATGAGCAGAGCTACATTGCTAACACGGGGTTTCCTAATCCAGGGGCTCTTCCCCCCCTCCATGAGGCAAGAGCCAAGGGGGGGCGCAGCAGCCGTGTCACGCGTGATGAGCAGAGCTACAATGCTAACACGGGGTTTCCCGATGCAGGGGCTCGCCCCCCCCTCCATGAGGCAAGAGCCAGGGGGGGGCGCAGCAGCAGCCGGGTCACGTGTGGTGAGCAGTCCCGTACTTATGACGTCGGACCTGCAGAACACGTGACCGCCCTCGGCGCTCACGGTGTGACGCAGGGGCCCCCCCGGCCCTTTCAGCCACCCCCCCTCCCTGCTAGGAACACCAGGAGGGGGCGGGGCCATGACGTCTCGTGTTCCAGCTCCCGTTCCGCCCCTCACAGATTTCTACGACATCTGGAAGGAGCAGGGCTTACTGTCAGATGTTTGGCTGGAGAAAACTCTGCGCAGAGGTTACGCTCTGCAATTTTTCCGAAAGCCACCACCATTCCGAGGCGTACGGGCAGTACGCTCTCAGGTACGGGGATCGACAGAGGCACTGGAAGCAGAGGTCTCCTCCCTGCTGAGTCGAGGCGCAGCAGTGGAGGTAGACCCGCAGGACGCCACCAGGGGGCTGTACTCCCCTTACTTTCTGGTGCCAAAGAAATCAGGCGGGGTGCGTCCCATTCTGGATCTGCGCGTGTTAAACGAGTGCATTTCCAAACGGCAGTTTCGGATGCTGTCCACAAGGCAGCTCCTCGAGTGTGTCAGGGAAGGAGACTGGATGACATCCATAGACCTGACAGACGCATACTTCCACGTATCCATAGTGCCAGAACACAGGAGATTTCTGCGCTTCGCAGTGGGAGAGAGGAATTACGAGTACTGCCGTCTCCCTTTCGGGTACGCTCTCGCGCCTCGCACTTTTTCCAAATGTGTGGAAGCGGCTCTGGAGCCGATCAGACGTGCCGGGGTAAGAATATTGACCTATATAGACGATTGGTTAATACTGGCCCCATCCAGGGAAGTGGCCGTGAGCCACACGCAATGGGTCTTGTCCCACATACAGCGTCTGGGCTTTGTGGTGAACAGGGAGAAGAGCAAGCTGCAGCCAGCCCAACGCATGATTTACCTCGGTCTGCAGCTAGACTCTGTGATATTCCGTGCTGCATTGTCCGTGGACAGACGGACGAATATTACCCGTCTGGCCCGGGAGGTTCTGGCGGGCCCCAGAGTTCCCGCTCGGCGCCTCAGGTCCCTGCTGGGGATGATGGCAGCGGCTCATGCTGTGGTGCGGCTAGGCCTGCTCCACATGAGAAATTTTCAGAGGTGGTTCTCGCGCCTCAGGCTTCACCCCTCCCGGGACGGGGGGAGGCTGATCTGGGTTCCCCAAGGGGCAGCATCGGACATCAGGTTCTGGCTCACTCCGGGTCTACTGCGGGACGGAGTGACTCTGGCCTGCGCGGTGTCTCACGCCGAGGTGTTCACGGACGCGTCGCTCGAAGGATGGGGCGGGGTCCTCGGCCAGAGCTCTGTAGGAGGCTGCTGGTCGGACTCAGCCCGTCACATCAACCTGCTGGAGATGGAGGCAGTGCACAGAGTACTGCTGCACTTTGCCCCTCAGCTGCAAGGGAGACACGTGATGGTGCGCTCAGACAACACCACAGTGGTCTCCTATCTGAACAGGCAGGGGGGCACCAGGTCCCCCGCTCTCCATCGCATGGCGACGGTGACGCTGCTGTGGGCGGCGCTTCACCTCCTGTCTCTCAGGGCGCGCCACGTCCCGGGGGTCCGGAACGTGGGAGCCGACAGGATGTCCAGGGGGGGCCCACTCCAGGACGAGTGGGGCCTGGCCCCACGGGTAGCCGCGGAGATCTGGCGGAGGTTCGGTCGTCCAGTAGTCGACCTTTTCGCCAGTGCAGAGAACGCACAGTGCCCGTCCTGGTTCGCCTTAAGGGCCGCGGACGAGCCGCCTTTAGGCGTGGACGCTCTGGCTCATTACCCATGGCCAGGCGGCCTGTTGTACGCTTTTCCACCGGTGCGTCTCCTGCCGGTCCTACTGCGGAGGATCGAACAGGAGAGGAGGAGGTCGGTGATTCTGGTGGCTCCGGACAGCCCGCATGCCCGGTGGTTCCCCTTCCTGAGGGGCATGGCGGTGATGGAGCCCTGGGCCCTCCCGGACGAGCCGGGGGCTCTAGTCCAGGGGGCAGGAGCCCTGTTTTCACGTCCGATAATCGGCCGCAGGCTCTGGGTTTGGAGGTTGAGAGGCGGAGCCTCGTAGATCTGGGTCTTCCCCCTGCGGTGGTGGAGACAATTCAGGGAGCGAGGGCGCCGTCCACCGTGAGGGCCTACGCCACGAGGTGGAGGCTATTCAGTGCCTGGTGCGATTCCCGTTCCTGGGATCCCAGGTTTTGCCCGCTGGAGGGGGTCCTGGGATTCCTACAGGAGCTTTTCGACAAGGGGAGGGCTGTCGCTACCTTGGCGGTGTTTGCGGCAGCCATTACTTCAGGTCACGACGGGGTTCGGGGGGTTCACAGCCCGCTCTCACCCGTTGATTAAACGTTTTCTGCGGGGGGCGCGCAGGAGGAGGCCCCCGCTCCAGAGAACGCCTCCGGTTTGGGACCTCAGGGTGGTCCTTAGGGGGCTGTCGGGTTCGCCTTTTGAACCGGCGGCGGAGGCGAGTCCCGATTGTATCGCTTTTAAGACGGCCCTCTTGCTGGCGTTGGCGTCTGCAAAAAGGGCGGGCGATTTGTGTGCGCTCTCAGTCCATGCGTCGTGCCTGTCCTTTGGAGAGGACGACGGCATGGTGGAGTTGTGGCCCAATCCGGCTTTTCTCCCCAAGGTCATCACGTCGGCCTTTAGGTCGAGAGTGATCAGGATTAGGGCTTTCCACCCGCCGCCGCATGCCTCCCCCGAGGAGGAGCGGCAGCACCTTCTGTGTCCTATCAGAATGCTGAGGCATTACCTGGCCATGACGTCGTCATTCAGGTCGGGTGATCAGCTGTTTGTGTGTCTGGGCCCCAAGAACAGGGGCGCCCCGCTGTCGGCTCAGCGGCTGGCGCATTGGGTCGCCACGGCGGTGCGACGGGCGTATCAGGCGCAGGGCCTGGCCCCCCCGGTGGGTTTCAGGTCGCATTCCACGCGTGGGATGGCGGCCTCTACGGCCCTTCTCAGGGGGGCGTCGGTCGAGGACGTTTGCCGTGCGGCTTCTTGGGCGTCGTCCTCCTCTTTCGTCCGGTCTTATCTTTCGGATGTGTCGGACCGGTCGGTGGCCCATTCCGTGCTGAGTGCAGCGGATTGAGTTGGACCGTTGGGTCCCTCCCCTGAGGAGTGGGCCTTCGGTCTATTTTTCCGCCCTGGTGCAGGAGCTCTTGGGAGAGGCATCCTACAGGTGCGGTACATATATGTGTGTTTGATCGGTCTGGTAGTCTACATCAGGAGCTCTTGGGAGAGGCGTCCTGTGACTACGGTTGACCTACGATTGGTGTTACGTGGGGGCGTCCTTGGTAGGAGTGGCCCGGTAACACGCTTTGTTTCTTCTGCCCTGAGTCCTCTCACGGTGTGAGGGTCTTGCTCGGGCGGAGCTCCAATCACCCTTCGCTGGCCTGCTGGGAGTACATGTTCCTACGGCCTCCGCGTTGTGTCCCACTAGCGAAGTCCTAAGGGACGTAGCACCATGACGTAGAATTAATAGTTACCTAATGTAACTTAAGTTCTACGAATAGGTGCGTAGTCCCTTAGCTACGAGCCCATCAGGCCAGCCCGGCTTGGCAGAGTTCAAGAGGGGGTGCGGCCTTGTGCAGGGGCATTTATAGAGGAAGGTGGCTGGTGATTGGAGCAAATTATTTTGATCTCTCTGGCGTCTGTGACCTGGGGGTCACGTGATATCCCACTAGCGAAGTCCTAAGGGACTACGCACCTATTCGTAGAACTTAAGTTACATTAGGTAACTATTAATTTTTATGGATTCCAGCACATAAGGGGATACGTGGCAATGAGGAAGCAGACCGACTAGCAAAGCAGGCACTGACTTGCTAATGATATATTAATGGAAGTGGCGATCAGTAAACAAGAGGCAAAGTCAATAATTAAACGTAGTGTTAAGGATGAGTGGCAAGTAGAGTGGAATGCGGAAACAACTGGAGGCATCTCTATGAGTTACAAAGGATAGTGGGTGATGGGTGGTGTGCATTAGGAAGTAGCAAGGTACAGAGGATCAATGCTAACTGAGAATTGGGCATACAGGTTTGAATAAGTCACGTTACACATAATCAAATAGACATGGAGACAACGTCTGCAGATTGCTTTGAACATGGCTGTCAAGCGTGGGGGAGCAGTAATCAAAGACAATGAAAGACATTTGTTGGCCCAATTCTGCCGTGGCTGTTGGGACAATGCCCTCATTACCGAACTACAGTTGAAACAACGAAAAAATAATCCCCCAATCTTTGCGGATTTTCTGCTGTTACTGCGAACCGAGGAGGACCGTGAAGCAGCTAAAGCCATTCGAATGAAGCAGCATCTTGGATCAACCAGACCCAGAGTTTCTGCCCATGCTCAATATGCATATACAAACACTACAGAGAGAGGGGAGATAGCCGCCCTTACCAGCGTCACCCAGCAACTGGCACAGCAGCTAGCCGACATCCAGAAGCAGCTTGCGTTACTTACTGCCGGCCAATCAAGCACAAGCCAAAATACTGCTTCCAAGCGCACCTATGACCATAAGGTGGAAGGTCAGAGGGCAGGCAAGTACTCAAAGAACCTGCCTTCTGCACCCAAGCCCGGCTACTGCTACAGGTGTGGTGAGGACGGGCACATCAAGCCCAACTGCGACAATCCCCCTAACTCTGCTCTGGTGGCTGCCAAGAAGAAACAGTTTGCAGAAAGACAATCCAAGTGGCAGACCCCCAATACCCAGCCTTTAAACTAGATGCAGTTCTGGTTGAGGGGCAAACCGGAACTGTTGAGGACCAACAACGTCCCAACTGCAAGCAGAAACCCGTTGTGACATGTGAAGTTAATCAGATCCCAAAGAACGTCCCGTCACGGTTACCAAAAGGTCTAATTGGTTCCCGTTGCACAGCCACCCTTAAAGTCTCCAATCACGAATGTAATTGCCTCCTCGATACAGGGTCGCAGGTTACAACCATTCCAGTTTCATTTTACAACAGCTATTTCGCAGATCAGCCGCTAAAGCCATTGTGTGACCTATTGCATATTGAGGGTGCTGCAGGACAAGCTGTCCCCTACTTGGGGTATGTGGAGATGATGGTCACGTTTCCAAGAGAGTTCCTGGGGGCTGATTTTGATGTGTCGACTCTGGCACTCGTTGTCCCGGATGTTCGTTTAGATACCCCGTCCCCAGTGTTAATTGGCATGAACACATTGGAGCCACTGTACAGCAAGTACATGGGGAGTGAGTGTGCAGATTTCCAACCTGAGGCCCATGGGTTCAAAGCAGTTCTTAAACTCCTGCAAATACGCCACCAGCAACAGGTGGGCACCAGTGGAGTAATAAGGTTGGCCAGCAAGTCCCCCATTCTCATCCCTGCTGGACACACCACCATCGTTGATGGTTCCATAAACATTGGCATGCCAAATCCAGGTCAGTGGGCGCTAGTGGAGCATCCAGCCTCACAACTGCCAGGTGGGCTGTGTGTTAAGAACTCCCTTGTTATGCTCCCAAGCCAATCCCACAAGAAGATCCCTGTCACTCTCACCAATGACTCTGATCAAGACATAACCATTCCACCATTCCTTACCATTGCAGAGCTTACGACATCTCCGCAGATCTTGTCCCACGGCGTACTCTCTACCCGCTCATCGTCTGAGAGATTGCCAAAGACTCTGAATTTGGATTTTGGAGAGTCTCCAATTCCCCAAGAATGGAAGAGCAGGATTGTCGAGAAACTCAATGAGATTCCTGAAGTCTTCTCCCATCACGAGTTAGATTTTGGATGCACGGACAAGGTAAAGCACACTATAAAACTTCATGATGAAACACCTTTTAAACACAAAGCTCGACCAGTCCATCCACAAGATGTTGAAGCAGTGCGACAACATCTGCGCGATCTGCTGGAAGCTGGTGTCATTAGAGAATCTGAGTCTCCGTTCTCTTCACCAATTGTTGTCGTTCGTAAAAAGAATGGAGACATACGGTTGTGTATCGATTATCGCAAGTTGAACTTACAGACTGTTAAAGATGCCTATGCCCTGCCCAACCCAGAGGAGGCGTTTTCAGCATTGACCGGCTCCCGGTGGTTCAGCGTGCTTGATTTGAAATCGGGCTACTACCAGATTGAGATGGACGAGGCGGACAAAGCAAAGACTGCATTTGTCACGCCACTGGGTTTTTGGGAGTTTAATCGCATGCCTCAGGGGGTAACAAATGCGCCGAGTACTTTCCAACGGCTAATGGAGAAATGCATGGGAGACCTCAATTTGCAAGAAGTGCTTGTTTTTCTTGATGATCTGATTGTATTTTCCAGTTCATTGGAAGAACATGAGCAGAGGTTGCTGCGGGTGCTTCATCGGTTGAAGCAGTACGGCCTGAAGCTCTCTCCGGAAAAGTGCAAGTTTTTCCAGACGTCGGTGAGATATCTGGGGCACATTGTGTCAGAGGAGGGAGTGAAGACGGATCCAGATAAGCTTCAAGCTCTGAAATCCTGGCCAGTTCCCAAAACACTCAAAGAGCTCCGTTCATTCTTAGGTTTTGCTGGCTATTACAGGAGGTTCATCAAAAGTTATGCTGCCATCGCTAAACCGTTAAATGACCTCACACGTGGTTATGCACCCACTTCCAAGAACCAAGCGAAGCCCAGTCCAGACAAGAGCTATGATGTGAAGCAGCCTTTTGGAGAGCGATGGTCTCCAGCATGCCAATCCGCCTTTGAAACGTTGATTGAGAAGCTGACGAGTTCCCCGGTCTTGGGTTTCGCCGACCCAAAGCTGCCATACATATTACATACTGATGCCAGTACTACAGGGCTCGGAGCGGCTTTATATCAAGAGCAAGAAGGGCAACTGCGGGTGATTGCTTACGCTAGCCGAGGGTTGTCACCCAGTGAATCGAGGTATCCGGCACACAAGCTTGAATTTCTTGCTTTGAAGTGGAGTGTGACAGAGAAGCTACACGATTATCTGTACGGGGGCCACTTTTTGGTAGTGACAGATAACAACCCACTCACTTACCTTTTAACATCAGCAAAGCTGGACGCCGCTAGCCACAGGTGGCTCGCTGCCCTTTCCACCTACACATTCAAACTGCAGTACAGAGCAGGAACTCAGAACCTCGATGCTGATGCTCTTTCTCGCCGCCCTCACCCTCCGCGTGCTGACGTTGTGGTACAAAAAGACTGGGATTTAATAAATAAGTTCACTCAAGAACACGTCATGGACCCAAGTGAAGTTGAGGATCTGGACTCTGATGTTGTGTCTGCCATATGCCACCGCTGTCTCGTCAACAGCCATAAAGCAGCTCCACAGAGCGACCAATCACCCTGGTTGAGTCCTTGAGTTTATCAGCAGATGCCGTTCCAGAATGTTATGCCAGAGAAACTGACAATGGTCTTCCGGTAGTCCCCACACTATCAAAGGCCCAGCTCAGAGAGAAGCAACGCGCTGATCCAGTGATACGGGAGGTCATCTATCAGATGGAAAGTGGAGAAAAAGTACCTCCTACCGCCAAGCATGAACTCCCAGACTTAGCACTGCTGCTGAGAGAACTTAACCGTCTTGAGCTACAAGAGGACATCTTGTATCGGAGAAGGCAAGAGAGGGAACAAGTTTCATTCCAGTTGGTGTTACCTGAAGAGCTAAGGTCGATCGTTCTAACAAGCCTTCACGATGACATGGGGCACATGGGCATCGAACGAACGTTAGATCTCGTGCGATGCCGTTTCTTTTGGCCTCATATGGCAGCTGATGTAGAGTCCAAAATCAGAACGTGCAGTCGTTGTGTCAGGCGCAAAGCTCTTCCAGAAAGATCTGCACCATTGGTCAACATCCAAACAACACGGCCCTTGGAATTGATTTGCATGGACTATCTATCACTTGAACCAGATCGAAGCAACACAAAGGATATTCTTGTTATTACTGATCATTTTACAAAGTTTGCCATAGCTCTTCCCACTGCAAATCAGAAGGCAAGGACCGTGGCCAAATGCTTGTGGGAGAACTTTATTGTTTGTTATGGTATACCGGAGCGACTACACACGGACCAAGGTCCTGATTTCGAATCAAAGTTGATCAAGGAGCTTTGCCATCTCGCTGGTATCCAAAAATCCAGGACAACTCCTTACCATCCCCGAGGGAATCCAGTCGAGAGATTCAACCGGACCCTACTTGGAATGCTTGGGACGCTGGCGCAGAAGCAGAAGGCGAGGTGGAAGGACTATGTGAAGCCACTAGTGCACGCGTACAACTGCACTCGAAATGACGTCACTGGTTTTACACCGTACGAGTTGATGTTCGGTCGTTCGCCGCGTCTTCCAGTGGATCTCGCTTTTGGCCTCCCTCTGCAGAAGAACCAGACGACATCTCATTTCCAGTATGTCGAAAGCCTCCGATCCAGACTCAAAGAAAGTTTTGATATTGCGGCCAAGAATGCTGCCAAATCAGGCGAAAGAAATAAGATTCGATTTGACAAGCGAGTGACTCCCTCCAGCCTGGAGGTAGGAGACAGAGTGCTTGTTCGCAATGTCAGACTTCGTGGGAAGCATAAACTTGAGAATAAATGGGAGCGTGATGTTTACACCGTCCTGAAACGTGCAGGCAACTTACCAGTTTACACCGTGTGTGTTGAGAACAGGGAGGGACCGATCCGTACCCTGCATCGCGATCTCCTCCTTCCTTGTCCGTTCCTGCCAGATGATGATGATGATTTGGAAGTTACAGCTATTACCCCACCACGTCGTCCTCAAACCCGAAGCCAGAATCAGGTAACTGAGGATTTGGATGAAGATCAGGATGAAGATGGAGGATGGGAGTTGCCTCAAGCTCAAATACAGCCAGCCTCATTTACATTCAGTGGTGTTTGTCCTCTCTCCAATGATGTGGCTGAGCTTGGAATCAGAGACCCCAAATCCTCTGCAGATGTCAGCCTTTCGCTCCCGCATATTGATTCACCTGTGGAAGAAGAAAAAACAACTTACCTCAAGATGGAGATTCCTCTGCTACCGCTGAAACACATCCGCTTGTGACTGAAGAGCCAGAGCCTGGTGAAGATCCAATATCTGAAGAACTCCTTATCGAGGAAACGACTGAAGAACAAGAGCTCCCTGGCCAAGCAGGGGCATCATCCAATACCGATGAGTCATTGATCAGTCCGATCGAAGCAGTTAGAGTACCTAATACGCCGGCCGTTACCGCAGTTGAATCCGATACAGTTTTGCGACGTTCTAGTCGACAGCGCCAACCGCCCGATCGCCTTCAGTATTCAGCATTGGGGCGTCCGCTTATTTCTGTTGTACAGACACTCTTTCATGGGTTGCTTGATGCGTACAGCAGTGCACTTCCTACCTCTGTAGCATCCGATCTGTTGCATCCTCCTGTTTATGATGTTTAGCCATGCATCGGGAGTTGCATGATTTTAGAGGGGGAAGATGTAACCCAGGTAAAAAACCATATATATATATATATATATATATATTGTGTAATGTGTAAGCATAAAATAAGTTAAATATATTTTTCACTGCGCGCTGCGTGCATAATATACGTCATCACGTCTATCAGTCACATGACCGTCAGTAGCCATATTGACAGACTGTGTGGTTGCCGGTAGAAGCGGGTTGGGAAAGAAGCTGCAGGTATGTTGCTGCTGTCATTGCTGTCTTTCTGAATGCTTTTGAATTAATGCAGCTGCTATAATACTTGTAGGAGCCTCTGTTGATCCGTCGGCTGTGAGGGAAGCGTGTGTGTGCGTTTCACATTGGAGAACTGGTGAGTGACGCGGAGCGCTAGCTTAGCCGTTAGCCTAGCCCGTTTTCCCATTCGGTTACATTGGACATGCTACGCTAAGCTAACCAATGCATTTCAATGACTCGGATTAGCATTTAGTTAATGCCGGGTTTTCCAAATGTATGTGCTTTTATATGGTGCTTTTTGTATGTTTTATAACGGTATGCATTTAGTAGGCACTGATACTTAGATACTTTAAATGCACTTTGAAGTATGATTGTTTTACAATGTTTTGTATACATATGTAGAAGTATACTGTAGTGCCATGGTTCATTGGTCACTATTGATATTGATGATTAATATATACTATTTAACATTTTTGATGCACTTAGTACTAGTGTTATTTGACTGAGTTTGATTATTGTACAATGAGATGCATTCACTGTTTTATTTAGTGCATATTGCATTATGTATTATGAATAGTGTTTGTAATGGTTAGATTTCGATTATGTGCACATAGACTTTTAATTGAACCTTGGCTCTATTACTTAGGCCAGGAGGTTCCGGATGGCGAGCTTAGTCCCGAACCAGAGTTGAGCTCCAAGAGAGGAACTCAGTCCAGTCAGACAACTGCATCCTCCTACTCCGGTCGGGTAGGAGGCTCCTGTAGCCGCCCTTTTTCCCTTTTGATTTGTCCTCGTGTTCAAAGTGAGGGGCTCACTTCATTTTGACTCACACATTCACCCGTTAAAACTCACCCTTTGGAATATCTGAGCCCAACCAAACAACCACTCACTGAACGAGCACTTGGATTATATTTTTTTTTGTGCGCTTCGCGTACTCTGACATTTGTGCAACCGTTGAAGTAGACAATTCCGGAAGCCAAACAGAACTCATTGTCTATATATGTAAATTTCTTGTATGTCATTGTTTGTTGTTTGTCATAGTCTCTTTAAATTCAATACATGTGGGGGTGCCATCTGCAAAATTCAAGTGTTTCATTGTGTCTCTCTCCACTCTTAGAGCCGAACTGGGACTTCTGATTTTTAGCCCAGAACTTGATAGTGTGTGTGTCAAATTATTACCTGACCTGTAATAGTTTAGCGTAGCCACATGCTACATGTATGTTAGCTAGTTCCGGGGAGAAACGGCGACATGAGCCGACCGCATCCGGTGCCTGTGTTTCGCTGGTGATTCAGGCTAAACTTGGAGGTCGTTTAGGTCCGTTTCAAGTTCTCTGCTGTTGACTATATGCCTCAAGTAAAGCACACACCTCTTGTTCATGCTCCTCAAAGTGACAAGTGTGAGTGAGTGTCTGTTTTTGTGAAAAAGCATTAGACTCTCATGTCAAATCAATGTTAAAAACACATCATATTCCTTACTATTTTCCTTACTATTTTACGACCATTCTCCCTATAAATATTGAATTCTACCCCAGTTGGAATAAGTTCAAAGACAATAGTTGATGGTTTTAAGTAGTTTGTCTTTGACATGTAGGAGGCAGATGCCATGTCATCAGAGGTGTGGACTCGAGTCATGTGACTTGGACTCGAGTCAGACTCGAGTCATGATTTTGATGACTTTAGACTCGACTTGACCAAATATAAAAAGACTTGCAACTCGACTTGGACTTTAACATCAATGACTCTGACTTTCACTTGGACTTGCGCCAATTGACTTGTAAAGACTTGCGTAACCCGGGCCATTTTTACCTTTCTCCGCATCTCTCTTTCTATCTATGCCGTCTCTGAAGAAACAAAGCCTCGCGGTAGTTGTAGCGCTCGCGCGAGAGTTCGAACGTGAGTTCCAGGCAGTTCGCGCAGCAACACTTCCCTAAACAAGTGGACTGCATTCACCGGTGGGTGTGTTGTCTAGGGGAGCTGGAAATGAGCGAGCTGCAGGTATTTATCGCGACCTAACGTCATATTTTGTTCTACAAACCGTAATTGATATGCTTTCACTACAGGCGCCTCATACAATTGAATCGACGCAGTTGTCACACTGTGTGCCGTGTTTTAAAGAGGAACTGGTGAGTCAAACTAGCGCTAGCCTGCGCTGCTCTGTTGGCTCTTTCTTATATTTTTCTGTGTGGGCGCCGAGGCCTATTATTATGAGCATGTTTTTGCTGTGCTCCTCCTGCTAAAGTTTGCATACATTAGATAGTTGTTTTGATTATGTGCACTAAGCTAGATTAATATTTGCACTATTGTTTATGGTGCATTGATATGAGAATCAGTGCTTTGACTGATTGAATTAATTAATATGAGACATTTTATTATGTAATGATATATTGGTAATTATGAGATATTACTAATGCTGGTCCAGTTCATACAGCCCCCCCCCCCCCCCCCCCCCCCCCGCTGCCCAGGTCCAAAGCCTGGACCCCTCATACTACCCCTATCCTACAGTAGGACATTTGGAACAATAACCACTACGGACATTACACTGATTATATAGATACAGGTCCTAGCCCAATACTGAGATTAATTGATTATAATATAAGCATACTATTCATATATGCTGCACTTGCTACTTCCCATTAAAAACCCCAAAGATAAAAAGTATGTTGACACGGACTGCTCTGATTTTATGTGTGGTCTGTGCATGTGTAACTGAGCCTGCATCTGGCACAACATCCAATTAGATCACATAGATAGTTTTGATTTACCAGCAGCCAACGACATGGAACAAACTGTTAGTCCATGGGTCAGAGACCAACGAGAATGCACCAGCAAAATGATTCCTAACATTATTGAGACCAACAAGAAACAAATCGCGGTCAAAAAGACTCGAGAGGACTCGAAAGTCAAACCGTAGGACTTGGGACTGACTTGAGATTTGTTGGCCTTTGACTTGGACTCGACTCGGGACTTGCCTGTCTTGACTCGTGACTTGACTCGGAACTTGAGGGCAATGAATTGAGACTGACTTGTGACTTGCTAAACAATGACTTTGTCCCACCTCTGCATGTCATACCTCAATTTAAAGCTATTAATGAGTTCTGTCCAGTCGGTGTTTTCAAGTTGATTTGACGCAAGAGCCGGACTGTGTTTGTTTGGGGGTTTTTTTCACAAAAACAGACACTCGCTCACACACTTGTCACCCTGAGGAGCTTAAACAAGAGGAGTGTGTCCTTTACTTGAGGCATTTGGTCGACAGCAGAGAACTTGAAAGTGATCAGAAACTTCCTCCAGGAATCCTGGCGATAGACAGGGACTGGATGCGGTTGACAACTTGGACGTGAGATGTATATAAGATTTTTTTTTTTGTTAATATGCATTTTATTTGAGTAAATTGAGTAAATAGTAAACAACTATTTTTGTAAAGAAACACTGTTGTTGCAAATTTTATGTGCAAGCGCATAATAAAGTTTATGTTGCATTGTATCAATGATTTGTTTTTATCTGTATAATACAGAAAAAATATGTTTTAAATATATTTTTATATATACTGTAAGTTAATTGAAAATATACTGTAAGTTAACTGCAAGTATGTTATGAATATACTTGACGTTGCATTGAAATGTATTACTCAATCATGAATTAAATACCCAAAAATCAAGTATACTTAAAGTATAATAAGTGCACTTAAAGTTGTTCCACTTTAGTACACATTAGTATATTAAGTATACTTTCAATTTACTTTAAGTTCTATTTAAATTCAACTTAAATCTATTAAGCACAAAATAAGTTGTTTCAAAATAGCACACTTAAAGTTTATTTGACTGTTATTTCTGAAATATATTTAGTATGCTAAATTTCAGTATACTAAGTATATTTTTTTTTCACCTGGGTAAACTTCTCCACAACAGTATCTCGGACCTGCCTGGTGTGTTCCTTTGTCTTCATGGTTCTCTCTGTGCTTTAAACAGAACCCTGAGACTATCAAAGAGCAGGTGCATTTATACGAAGACTTGATTACACACAGGTGCATTCTATTTATCATCATCAGTCATTTAGGACAACATTGGATCATTCAAAGATCCTCACTGAACTTCTGGACTGAGTTTGCTGCACTGAAAGTAAAGGGGCCGAATAATATTGCACGGCCCACTTTATCCAAATTATCCAATAAATTTTGTTCCACTTCACGATTGTGTCCCACTTGTAGTTGATTCATGACAAAAAATTAAAATTTGATATTTTTATGTTTGAAGCCTGAAATGTTGAAAGGTTCAAGGGGGCCGAATACTTTCGCAAGTCACTGTATTTGCGATCTGGTACGTTAGCATTAGCGCAACTTCTTGTAAGCTGTACAACAATCACTGATGAAATGGTACAAAAGCAACGCACTGCTAACAAAATATATAAGTAAAAGAATACCGCTAGTTTCGCGTCCGTATGTATTAATTTAAACATTAGAATATATTCTAATATTGAATTATAATTTATTATACAGCTCCTCACAGCAGCAGTAGAACACTCCATTGATTTGAATGTAATTTCAAAACGTTCTACTGATCATTTTTTTTCTTGATAACAGAACTCTCAAACCAATAATAACCGCTGCCCTTTGGCAACGCAATCTCTGTAATTCAGGTGTGTAAAATACTGACATTATTCCGCAAGTACAACAAGCTTTCAGTGCCTGTCACTACTTCTGTCTGTGCAGACAAGCTAGCCGAGCTAGCCTAGCTAGCCACTCTCAATAAACAAATACATATCAATCCATCAACATCATTAAATGTTAATCGGACAATATATTAGACATATACATCCTTAACACACATGCACAGAGGTTTTCAGAATTATTTGTTAACGTTTTCATGATAAAAATACTGTTTTAATGTGAAAAAAGCAATCGCGAAAACCCCGGAAGTAACCCTTAACATGAAACGAACATTTTAACACACATTTGAAGAGGATCTGATGGATTTAGGTTCGGTATATAAGGGTAACTCACCACTGATGTTCAGAATTCTTTGTTCAGTTTTCATGTAGTTCCTGAGAGTTTTTGAACTAGCTAGCTTAGCTGTTACCAGCCTCGCACGTCACGGCAAAACCTTTGGGGCTAACTATTTTATTTGCAGTTATTAAATACATTTAGAATATTAAGGGATTAAATATATATATATATATATATATATATATATATATATATATATATATATATATATTATTTATTATTTATTTAGTGGCCCGCCGAGCCTCCACTCAGCACTTTTTACGGTCTGAATTCATACAAAAGCTGAATCAATGAGCTCCAGTTTTCAATTACATTACAGATTATAATACAACTTGTATGTAGTAATAAGCATTTTTATGAACTCATTAGAAAAAAAATCGTGTATAGCTTCTTTAAATGAATGATTTGAAAATTAAACTTTTGAACTCACTGAATGTAATAAACCCAGACATGAAATGGACGGAGGAACTCCAATTTTTTATGACAACTTTTTGAAACTCAACAATTTCTGACCTTTAAAATAGTTGCACGAGACCACCTATGTACTCTTTATTTTCCTGTTTCCATCGGTCCTACTCTACTCTCCAACTCTACTCAACTCTACTCTACACTGATTCAGAATGCAACAGTGGAAACATTCCGAAACTGTCTATTTCTGTTTATTTTGTATCTTGATTATTGTTTTATTTTGAATTAAATGTATACATTTGAAATAAATGATTACTACAACTAGTACACTGCTACCATGTGTGAGCAAATCCAAAAGGCCGCATAATGTACAATCATAGTATGTACGTATGTGATTATGAAAGACCGCAGAGCAAATGCAAAGTGAGGTGGTTTCTCTTTCTAGCCTTGGTTTGTCACGATGTGGTAATCCTGACTGCAGATGGTGATGTGTGTGGACTCACGTAGACAGGAGGCTCATTACCATTGCATTTCCATTCAACATTTAAATGGTTATTTAAATAAAATGAAAACAAAAAAATTAAAGATTCCTTGAAACTTTGTGAATAAATTGTGTTCAGAGTGACTCAAGTCAAGGCAGATAAGTCTATCTTGAACTTTGTTATAGATAGATAGAAAGATAGATAGATAGATAAGTACTTTATTGATCCCCCGTAGGAGAAATTCACATGTCCAGCAGCAGAAGACTCATCCAGGTTTGCTGTACAGTCTGACAGCCGAAGGAGGTGAGGTGCACTTTGGAACAAAGGATCACTTAAACGTTCCGTTTGGCAGCACAGTGATAGGAGCCTGTTGCTACGATTACTCCTCTGAGCGGCCAT